TTACTATAAGTATATATTTGGGTAGCTTCAAAATACATTTTGCCTAACGTTGCTGTCTTATTTAAATGTGGATAAGAAACCTGTCTTTCAAGTAGGTCAAACAAGAAGTCAGACAGGAATGAATGTCCAGGGCAAGAAGTCACACTTGTTTGTAGGCTTCTGCTTTTTACTCCCAGACACGTGGTGTCAGCAGACTTCACAAGGCAGAGCTGGCTGCAGTTTCTCACCCACCGCCACTCATTCAGATTCAAAAAGGATTAAGTTTTCTAACACCTCTGCTTTATTAAACTATCAGTTTTATTTATTGGGTCTTTAACGTGTGCCTAAAAATATCTAAGCATTTCAACTATATCAAGGTATTGAATTTCATTCCCAAAAAAGCAACCCTCTGAGATAAGTGAGAGAATTTCCATTTTATAGACATGGTAACTGAGATTTAGAAAGTACATGACAGAAAGTACAGACAACTGAGATCTATATCATCTGATTTCCAATCTAATGATCTCAAATCTCATAGTGTGTTTTACAGTAAACACGAGACAGTATTATCTTTAGAATCAGAATGTGGAGGTTGAAATTCTAATTATTAGTTCTCATTTTCTCAGCTTATTTTTCTCCAGTTGTGAAGTTAGATTAATGATAGCTATCTTCTTTAACTCACAGGAAATTCACTGAAAATGGAACTATTTTATAAGATATGAAGCTCAGTGCTACACAATACTAAAATTTATACACGTATGTCTTAGAAGCATGTGTGTTGAATTTAATAGACTCTGTGGACTGACAATTGTCTGAGTTTTAGATTATAATAAGATTAGTTTCTATTCCTAAAACTTAGGTGATTTCAATTGTTTGTGATTGGCATTTTGACACAGAAGCTATAAGTTCATAGTTTTCATAAGCAAGACTCCCCTCCACTTGGTGGCAAGCAATAAACTCCACCGCATTGTAGTAGGAGAGAATCATGTTTCTCACGGTAGCTGGGGTAGAGGTGCATCTGGACCTCATGAAGGCTAGAGTACCAGAGGTTAAATCTGTGAACAAGTTAGTTACTTTTTTTCTGTGTAGCTTGCTTTATTCTCAATGTCCCTAAAGACTGGGTATTTCTGCTTCTGATTAACACATGTGGTCCAAAAATGGAACCCTCAATTAGATTCATTGCCTCTTTAGTTTCCAGTTTCTAAGATAGTGGAACCAATAGTGTGGATCCCAAATATAAATTCTTTGGGGAAATGAATCTCACTGGCTCAGCATCTTTTATGAGGCTTGTACCTGTTATGAAATTTCTCAACTTCAGGACTATTGACTTTTCTTTTTAACCTTGAGACACTCTTACCAAGCTTCCCAGGTTGGCTTGAACTTGAAATTCTCCTGCCTCAGCCTTCATAAGAATTGGGATTAGAGGTGGGCACCACTGTACCTGGTTACTGTAACCTTTTATACTGAATGAATCTTATTTGTTTGGAAAAGAGAGGCTCCTGTGTGTACTGTGTGTTATTCAGCAGGATCCCCAGTCTATCCTACTAGTGCCAATAGACATGCTCCTTATCTCCCTACTATGGAATGTTCTGATATTACCAAATGTCCCCTGGAAGACAAAACCATCTCTGGTTCAAAAACATGCTTTGCACATGGACTCACATGCTTTGTGTGGTGGTGCATGTCTGTAATCACAACTACTCAAGAGGTTGAAGCAAGGCCAGACTGGGCTACATAGTGAGACCCTCTTTCAAAAACAACAACAAGAACAACAAAAAAGAAAAATGGAAGGAAAACAAAGAATGAAAAAAGAAAGGAAAGGAAAGGAAAGGAAAGGAAAGGAAAGGAAAGGAAAGGAAAGGAAAGGAAAGGCAGGGAAGATAAGATAAGCATGCTTTGTGACCAAGAGTAAAGTGTCACATAGCACATACATGACTACAGAGAGACTTTCTGAAAGGGGGTAGTTCTATGAAAAATCCATGTGTCTGCTTGGCAATTATCTGGAGCATTTTCTATTATAAATATAGAAGATGTTGATGGTAATTATGTCTTTTGTACATTTTGGCCATCAGAATCAGATCTGTTCAAAGAAATTAAAAGTTTCAGTTATTTGAACACTGTATAAGTTGAAGGAAAATAATTTTTGGTCAAATCTGGGGAAGCCCGTATATGTTCTTTCTGTGCTACTTTCCCACCGGGATTTGCAAACTTTTTGTTCCTATGTCCCAGCCACACACACAAGTATATAACATATATCACACTTTTGTCATCTAATTATATTGTTGTATTTTGTATTCTACAAAAAATGTTCAAAATTAAAACTATCAACTAAAGTAATTTTATTTGATTTGCAATGATGGATAATATTGAAAGCACAGTACAGGAATTCTCACCCAGCACAAATCATGCAGGTTGCTCCTCCCTGCCCGTTCCATTTAACTAAAAACTCTGAAAGTAATGTAAGAGCCAGGGAAAGAGGAAGTGGGAATGACAAGCATAGGAGAGCATTGTGGTTTGGAGCAAACGCTTGAGGAACAGCACAAGGGCAAGGCATTGTAAGTGTCCCTACCCAGACGAAGAAGGAGCCCCAGCCCTGAACCAGCATTTCTCAGATCTGCACACCCTCCTTCCCCATCTAACGTGGTGGGTGGTCTTGGCAGAGTGCCCAGCACTAACAGCAGGAAGCACAGGAAGCCTCTTTGGTCACTCTTTCACACAAATACAAAGTTAAGTCAGGAGTTAGACCAAAACAGCTTATTTTGAAGATGGGCAACTCAGCAAGTGTGTTTCGTTTCCTTTCGTTTTATTTTATTTTGGTTTTTGTTTTGTCATGAAAGACCATAGATCTCTATGTTCTCCAGTGGTTTCCTTGGTTGTCACTTTGTATCACAAAATGCTGCAAGGACTCTTAATTGTTTTAGAGATCCGAACCTCTTACAAATGGCCACGTGAGTGTCATCCTGGCACAGTGCACTTCCTGGTTCTGACTTCTTTGCTATTAAAACATTGCCATCTCCAAGCGTTGTGGGGAATGCATGTCAGGCTAATCTTACTATAGAATCCTTTTAAAATTCTTGTCAAAACATTCCTGCTAGAAGGCATTATCCTATTAAATAAGTTAATTTAAATCTACTCTGAGATACCATTTTTCATCTAATCTTTTGACAAGGACCCCAGAATTTGATAATTCACTGATTTAGCCAGAGAACTGGGGAACAGGCATTCATTCCCATTGCTCCTGGCAGAAGAGACCACTAACAGTCTCTACAGAGAATGAAATCTCCATGCTGATGTTCTCTACCAAACTGCAAATACACTTGTGTACCCTACCAATGCCATTTTTAAGAACTGATGTACAAATAGTTCACACATGTATGCCTGGAATGACACATCAAATTGCAAGAGGCCACAGATTAGATTTGTAATGCCCCCAAATGGTCATCTGAGAAAGAATTTGTCTCCTGGCCATAGTGTCATTGGGTGGTGGTAGAACTCTAGGCTGGGGCACAGAAGTAGGCTTTAGTCATTGGCAGTGTGCCCTTACATGGGGCTGTGGGGCCCTGGCCTTGTCTTCCTTTGTGCTACTCTACCATGAGATGAACAGTTTTGTTCTGCCACATTCACCCTGCCATCAGGTGCTGTCCTGTGACAGTCCCAAAGCCAAAGGGGCTAATTGCTCCGAGACTGAACCCTCCAGAACTACAACCCAAAACAACCTTTTCCTCTTCATAAGCTAATTGTGTTAGTTATCTCATTAAGGTAACAGAGAGCTGATTACCAAAGTACACAGAAATGCAAAGCATGTTAATATTTGCATGAAAAATGGATAGGACATGTATTGGGTGTGCACAAATTATCTGTGAAGATACACAAAAATTGAAAACAAGGGTTGCCTCTGGATGGCTGCAGGACAAACAAGGGACACAGTGAGAAGATATTTGCTACTTTGTTCTCTTACATTTCATGAATTTTGAATGTGAGAATGCATATGAATTTTAAAAATGAATTTAAGAAATCATTGAGAATATATCTTTTTCTATATTATTTTCCCTTTGGTGGCTTACAAGAAGATAATTTGTTTGTATTTCTTTATTGAAACAATGTAGCAAATATCACAAACTGAGACAAATTAGAAATCTCTAAACTTTCATACAACCATCTGACAGATTACCACAATATCTAACATTTGCATGTTAAAACACTCAATATATTTTCTGTCTTTTAATGAAGAATACATTTGAAATTGTCACTTCACTGTTCTCTATACATCCTTTCCGTGGCTGGTATCGTAGCAAGAATAACAGATATTTACCATTTATAGAGAGCATTTTGTTTTCCATTTTTAAAGAAACAGGCTTGTCCTAAAGATTAGTGCATCTTCAGAGTTCACTGGAGTGTAAAATGGATTTAAGAATCCTGAGAGTATTAGATATTGTCTTTATGTTCAGCACATTTTATTATCAAGTGTCAGCAATGACAGCCTCCTGCTTTTACTAGTTAATGGCTAACCCTAAGACTCATGTTCTGAGGGTAAGATTTACTGATAACAATAGTTACTGTACATCCGTAATTCCCAGTCTCTCTCCCTGTAGCTTGAACAGTGCCTGGATAGAGCAGACACACAGTGCACTGCCTTTCCTTTCTTCTTCTCATCAATGAATATCACAAGTACTTGGGCAAAGGAGGACAGCATCCATCCACTTGAAGTCGAATTGTTTTCATTTTGCACACATTTCAATTTTCTTTTACAGATATATAGATTCTGAAGTCACAGCTAGTAGCACCACAGCTATGCTGCAAAATCATTAACCCAGTGTCCAAAACTAAACATAAGAATCAAATTATATATTAAATTTCACTTGAAAGCAATAGTATTAGGCAGTTTCTTTCCATAGAAGTAAATCAAGCCTGAGAAGGCAAAAGCTCATCCTCATATTTGCATGACCAGAATTACAGAAAGAATTAATTACTAAGCTTTTTGACCATGTCAAACCTATGCTGTTCCACTGATGAACACTTACAAGTCTGGCAGTGATTTTCCGTAGGTCCCCAGCATCGGCCTGTGCAGGACTTATGGCAGCGTCCACCTGTAGAAGAGGGAAAAAGGAGGCAAAGCCGTCATTTACAGCACAGTCTTTCAGTCCTGGGTGA